GGGGGGAAGGGGAGAGGGAGCGGGATCGCCTGCGCGTCGCCGTGTCAGAAGTCTCTGCATGAGGGTGCTCATCTTCCTTGGCTGGCGGCTCGGGATCTTTAGTCGGGTCGTCCAAAACAGGCAGATCAACTCCCACCGACTGCTCCAATGACCGCTTTCCTTCCACGATGGCCGCCCTGCGTCGCTCTGCCTCCGGATCCTCTTCTTGGGCTTCCGCCTGATCAGCGCTTCCTCTTCTCCGACCGCTTCTTCTTCTGCCTCCTCCCGCTCTTCTTCTTCTTCTTCTTCTTCTTCTTCTTCGCTCACCACCCCCGCCTCATGCCCACTATGCTCACTACAATCCTCGTCCTCTCCGGAGGTCTCTTCCTCGTCTTCTCCGAAGGTCTCTTCCTCGTCTTCTTCCTCTTCCTCCTCCTCTTCTCCTCTGCTCACCGGGTTGAAGTGAGCGTTCGCAATGGTCCCGGGATCTAGGTAACTGTGCGATGGGTAACAAGCGTTATCATCATCGCCTTCCAGGCATGCTGACCATTGCAGATACGGTGCCAGGCTGCGCGAGAGGATGTGTGGTACTGGACTCTTGTCAAAGTGCGAGATGACGTCAAGCGGAAGGTCGTCTAGCAGCTCGGTCTGGAGGATCAGCAGATCGCTTACGATCGTCCGTTGATGGCCCGACTCGACTGATCCGAAGACGAATCCTAGCAAATCCCCCTCAGTGTCCCGTCTTCCAAGCTTGAATGAGTAGCAGCGCGACGTCCTCACTGACTGCGGGCTGGTCATCGTCCTTCCACCACGTCAGATCGATATTGACTAAGCACAACGAAAGAGTTGCATACGTCTGCCACCACCTTAGCCACTGCTCCGGCTTGATCCTAGGAAGCATAAGCGGGCGCACACAGAAAGAGAGGCGGGGATGGAGTGCGGACTGCCAGAAGAGAGGAAAAGTAGAAGGGAGACTAAAAATAGAGAATCTGGAGTGGTTCATTGGGGGCGCGGGAAGGGGACAAGCTCGGGGATGAGCACCGCTGGCGCGTGCCGAGAGAGGCGAATGCCGTTTATGTCAATACTGTCGGTATAGACGATGTTCTCCCCCCGCTGCGCGAGCATCTGACTCCACACCGTCGACAATTGCGCTCCCCAATCTCGCAACGAGTCTAGAATGGCCGTATGCGTTCTGGGGTCGAGCGGAGTAAGATCCCCGCTGAAGATGACAACTACTGAGATGTGAGCAGTCCCTGGCGCCGAGAGCCGATGGTAAGCCGAGGCTTCGGCCAGCACGTGTGACCTGCTGTTGGGGATCGCAAATCGAAATTCTGCCGCCACGTAGAATCCCGCCGTACTAAAGAACTGGGCGAAGCGGAGAGCGTCCGGGCTGATGCGCGGATGATACACTTGCCGAATTGACGAGATATGCCCACCTGGTGCCAACATGCGTTCACTGAGTACCTGCTCCGTGGAGAAACTCATGGTGAAGAGGAGGGAGAAGATGAACGAGTAGAAGAAAGAGAATGAGGCTCGTCACTGTCCCACTCAGACTCCGAAATCGACCCAGCTGGAGAAGGAGGGGAAGAAGTCGAGAGATGGCGGAGGTAGGACACGTGGCGGACGATAGGCCTAGTGGACCGGCTGCCTGACACCTCAGGAGCAAGCCGCACCGTGTTCACGCCGTTAGGACCGAGCTCGATCACTCTGAAGCATCCGTAGAATCGTGGCGCTAGCTTACCCTGGCGAGCACATTTCCTCACCTGCACCAAGTCCCCCAATTTATACTGGGGCCAGGGCCTGCATTCCCATTTCGGGCCTCATAACTCCGGACCTGGCGTCCGTGGGCCAATTCAGTCATACACTGTCTTTTCCGAGCCAATCTCGGAAGGGCCCGTTCCATGAGGTCCAGATGGCGCTTGGCCTTGTCCTTGGCCGTCGCCCGCGTGAGACGTTTGTCCAGCGCCGTTTCGTCATTTAGATTCGGTATTGAGACACAAGATAGGTTGTTGGTACGTAGCTGGAAAGGTGAAAGTTCGGTAGATTCATGCGGGGTCCCTCGGTGTATAGCTAAGATGTGATCTACGATATCAGGCCACTGCCATGTGTCCTTAGCTGCAATATTCCGTCAAAGTGTCGTTTTAATTACCCGGTTGACATTTTCCACGAGGCCGTTCGATTGAGACATATGGGGAGCCGTATTACGAATAGACACCCCGTGTACGACCAGGTTCTTCATGACTTTTCCCCTGAATTCAACTCGGTTGTCGGTAAGGATTTCCTCGGTGTCCTGATGCATCCCGAGGAAACGGTTGACATACCGCGCTATTTCCGCCGTCGGTCTTGTCCGACATGGGTAGGCCTCGATCCACTTAAAGTTTGAGAAGTGGTCGACAAACACCAAGAGAATTGAATACTCACAACTATTCGGTCCAGGGGGGACGATAATATCCGCCGTGTCCATGCTAACCCTCTGAAATGACCGTTGGACTACGGTGGGCACTATCGACCTAGGTGGCTGAATCGGTGCCTTGTCGGCCGCACAGACGGGATAATTTTTAACAATATATTTAACGTCGTCCCTAATGTTGGACCAATACCATTCATTCTTGTCGATGGTGGACTCGGTGATCCTGACCGCGAAATGGGCTGCTGTCTCTTCGTGGGCTGCTTTAACCCAGTCATACCTCATAAACGGGTGCGAAACTGCCATCCATATTCCGCTCCCGTCTGTTTTCCGCTTTTCTAACCGTCCCTCATTCCACCTATAATCCCGCGCCCTTTCATTGACCCGTCTCCGATCGTCCTTGGAGAATTCTCGAAGAGGGTTCCCTACGACGGTCGCTATCAAAGTGACATCAATCCACACCTCTGCCCGTCAATACTGTAAGATCTTTTCCAATCCTTTCGACGTCGCTTCCAGGAATCGAGCCTCCGTCGGAATCTTATCAGTACGACACAGATGGCAGAGCCACCGTTTCTGCAGATTCCTATATTGGATGCATGATCCATTGGCCCTGACTACGCACGTGGCACACTCTGCCCACTCGACGTACCCTTCATTTTTCGGCTTAACCGAAACGGAGTGGATGCGCGAGATAGACTCACACAGAAAACAAAAACTATCGGGGAGGGAGAATAGAGAAGAGGAAAAAGGAGAGAGAGAGCCCTCATCGTTCTCTTATCTCTGGGCCGCCATAAGGACACGTGTCACTTCTTTGCATGCCGAGGGAGAACCTTCACCTGGCCGTACCCGAGTCCCTTGGGATGCTCGCGATCCTTCCACGGAGTGATCTCCTCGTTGCGTGGCACCTTGCCTGGCCGGTGCAGACGTGTCAATCCGTCGGCGTTCCCGTGCCTTTCCGTTTTTCTGTGGACGATATCAAAATCATACTCCTGCAGCCTCACCGCCCATTGCCCAATCATTCCCGTGTAGTTCGTCAGCTTCTTGAGGGTCAGCAACGGCTCGTGATCCGTTACGAGGAGGAACTTCTGCCCATAGAGATATGGGTGGAAGTGCTTGATTCCCCAGACGATAGCGTAGCATTCTCCTTGTGGCGCCGAGTCATTCTTCCTTTCGTCCGGCATCGTCCTCGAAGCATATTCGACTACGTGCTCCCGCCCGTGTTTCCCCTTCAGAAGGGGAAAGACGGGCGGGAGCACATGGTAGAATCTAAACTAGGATAGCGGAGATAGCCTCCGGCTGCCAGTCAGTAATGAGTAGGAACTAGCGCTCGGGATCGGGCCGGATTAAAATAGGGGCCGAGGCTAGGGCCTCCTTCAAAGTGCAAAAGGCCTGCTCACACTCCGCGTCCCACTTCAGAGGCTGGTCCATCCGCAGGAGGTTCGTAAGGGGCCAAGCGATCGCCGCAAAGCCCTTGATAAACCGTCGGTAGTACGAGGCCAGTCCCAGGAAGGCTCGAACCTGTTTCAATGACGTGGGCGTGGGTGCTTCTCGAACAACCTCGACCTTCCTCGAATCCGGTCTCAAGCCTCCTCGGGTTACCACGTAGCCCAGGAACGAGATCCTGGACAGGAAGAATTCGTTTTTCTCCAATGCAATCTTGAAACCGGCGTCCCGCAACGCGCCAAGTGTCCATTCAATATGCTGCGCGTATCCATGGAATGATTCAGAATACACCAAAATATCGTCCATGTACACGATAACACAAAAATTGATCATCCCCTGAGTTAACCTGGTCTTGTTTACGAAGTTCTGGAAAGTGACATTCATTGCCCGCTGAAAAGTCATCGGCGCATTGCATATACCCATAGGGCATCGAACCCACTGCCACGTGCCCTCAAACAAGACAAACGCCGTCTTCGGCCGATCCTCTTCCCTCACAAGGATATGGTGGAACCCGTGCCGAATATAAAATTTACTAAAATAATTTGCACAGCCAATCGCATCCAGCAGATCATCAATACGAGGGAGGGGGTACACATCCTTGATCGTGACGTCATTCAATTTCCGATAATCAATGCAAATGCGGATCGATCCGTTCTTTTTCGGAACCAAAACTACCGGAAAGGACCAAGGACCTGTAGTGAACTCTATCCAACCGTTAGCTTTGGATTTTCGGATTCGCTCGAGTGCTGCCTTTCGTTCTGCCAATGAGTATTGTTAAGGTTTGCAATGAATCGGCGGGTGAGTACCGGTCTGAATCTCATGCTGGATTATTAAAGATAACCCGATGTCCGCGTCATCAATGCTGATAGCACCCCGATATTCCGCTAAGATCTCTGCAATAAGTTGGTGGGGTCCGTCGGACACGTATTCTGGCACGTGTAACTCGTAAGGCCGCCCGTGTATATCGGCTGTAACGTGTTTGGTACGTACTGCCTTAGAGTCCCGGGGCGACGGGGAAGAGATGAAAGAGTTGTCCGACCACCACGAGAACACAGTGGCTACCATCTGGGCTTCCTCTTCTCGGATGGCCACGTGTTCTTCGGGGGTTATCCCGTCCGCAATATCCTGGGGATCCACCGATTTCTCAGCGATCTTTATCCCGACATCAAACAGCGAGGCTTCGGGGCACCCAGGGGGTTCCGGAGCCTGTATTTCCGCTCCAGATGCAGCAACCGTATCTCCTTGTCTGTGGTAAGAAGCGATCGGGGAGGGGGTTCCGTGACGTCGCAGAAGGATCGCTTGTCCACGTATCGGGGGAGCAAGGGAGTGGTGCCCTCGTACAGGGTCCGAGGGGGTTCCGAAGAGTCGGGGAGCCACCTGTACCAGGGGTTCTCCTATGATCAGAGCTCGAGTTCGTTGGACATTTTCTTCGGTCAACACGAACGTTTTCGGCATTTTCTGCCGGACTGGGTAGCGGATTACCCTTCGTGTCAACTCTTGAATCGCCGGGCTTGTCTCGTCCTCACTTTCCAAATCCTCGGGAAGCGGGGACGCGTGTTCTTCGCTACTAGTCTCTGAGTCCTCTATGAGTCCGTCCCAGGTGACTGTCCGAATTGGCCCGCCTACCTCTGGGTGAGATCTACGTGGCGGGTTGGTAGCCGTGCGGAGGGTGAGGCGCATGGGGACTACGTACGGCTTACCCCCGATGTTCTTGATAACCACCTTCCGTCGCTCAAAGTCTAGATTGGCCTGGAGGGCGTTTAACGCAGGCAGTCCGATGAGTACGTCGTACGAGTTCACATTAAGAACCACCACGTCTCCCAAGGCGTGGACTTTTCCCAACTTAAAAGCGACGTTTGTCATTTTTCCTATCGCTCTGATCTTCTCCTCATCGGCGGAGATCAAACGGTCTCCTTCGTTGAGTGGGACCAAATCCTTCCTTCTTCCTGCCCGTTCCACTACTCGCAGGGATATTGCCAACACTGCTCCCTCGGAATCAAGGATCGCGTTGTATGGGAGTCCCCAGATCTCCACATCACACTCCGCGGACTCCCACGGGGTAGCTTTGATGCGCAGAAAATGGTCGCTTTTCTGGAGAAGTCCCAGGAGTACAGGCTCTGAGGGTCCAGGTGTATCCAACTTTGTCTCCTTTACGGGAGCCTTCCCCTTGGCCGTTGCCAGCTTGGCGAGTGCGAATCGTTTTCGATTGGCCTTGCAATGCTGGAGCATGCGATCATTGGCTTGTTCTGATATGGACAACAGGTGGCCGATTGGAAGCGGAATGTGGTGATCTAAGGCTCAGACGATGTCCAGAACATCGATCTTCCCGGTGACAAACTCAGGACCGCCGGATTCCATCTCCCCAAGGGATGGTCGCCATTCTGAAATCCCTCGCTCATCGTCCGCAGGCTGGATTGCCCCTATCATCCCAAGCCCCGGATATCCCAAGGAGAGGAATTGATCCAGTGGGATGAGCTCTGCGGTTTCCTCGATTACCCCTGTGCTTGGTGCTGCTACGTTCGTTTCTTCTACCATGGTTCCTACCCGTCCAGGCCCGTTAGCTAAGGGAGCTGCTGCTGCCGGGGCTGCCCCTATTCTTAGTTGTCGCTGGGGGCAATCCCGGGCCATGTGGCCGGGTTGATGGCAGGCGTAACACATGGCAGTCCTAGGGGTCGTGCCTACGCCAGCTCCCACGGCTGCGGGAGCAGATGCTTGGGTGGCAAAAGGGGCAGCGCGAACGTTAATGGGGCGCATGGAACACATCAGCGACTCCATGCGGGCATTTTACTCGTGCTGTTCTTTTTTGCTTTCTTGCATGAGGCTAACCAGCGTACGTGTAAGGTCCAACACTGCGTTCGACTCCTCTATCTTCCCCGCCGGAGCGGGTGTCTGTGCAGCCGCCTTGGGCGTCGATGGTCCTGCTCCCTGATCGGGAGGGCGTCATAGGGCTGCCACCTGTTCCAGGTAGGTGACAGGGCCTGACACGAAGCCCATATTTTCGAACTTATGTTGGAGGGCTGCTAATTCCATCCTTGCGCGGGTCAGTTCCGTAGAGTCACCTTCTTTAGTGTGATCTTCTCCCTCGAGGAAGCTGGCAGCGAACTTTCGCTCCATCTCTTTTGCTGCGTCCATGATTTGCGTTAGGGTGAAGGTGATGGGGGAGAACTGTTTTCGTATCTTAGCCCGTATAGCTTTACTTCGAAGTCTATATATGAAGAATTCTCTTCCCTCCTTTTCATCTCTTTGAGATTTTACAAACAGTCGATAGAATCGACTACGGTATTCCGCAATAGACTCGAGGGGCTTCTGCACTCGGTCTTTGATCATAAAGAACGCTTGCTCTGGATGTATGTAATCAAATCGGTGTAGGAAGTCCCTCTCGAAGGTAGGAAGGTCAGTCCATACGTAGGTGCTGAACCAGTGATGGGCGTCGCCTCGTAGTCGGGCTGGGATGTTAATCCTAGCTTCATCATTATCGTACTGCTGCGCTTGGAGTGTGGCAAGCCATGCTCCTGCCAGGTGGTGCGCTCGATCGAATAAATATAGATCTGGCGGGGCTGCTGGAGCGCGGGCACGTGCAGGCTGAGGCACGGGCTAAGGCGCAGGCCCCAGGCCGCCCCCTGCCCCGCCCTGTGCTTGATTGGCTTGGGCCTAATTGGCGTTTGCCTAATTAGCATTCATGTTGTCTGCCGATCTGCCCGCAGACCTGCTTCTTGTCACTACAGGTTCGCGTGCCGACGCGTTCCTTTGCGCAGACCGTCCCCGTTTTGGGGTCGCCAGATCGGTTGAACTAGAGAGCCGAGCAACTTGTCAATCCCTTGTCTTGACACGTGTCGGCTCCGATACCAACCTCACACCCACCACGACTTCCTGTTTCGGAGTGTTAGTGGGCCTGGAAGTGCGAAAAGGGGTGTGCCAAGGATTTTTGGAAACCGGGGGTGGAGTTCCAGGTCGGAACCTATGTAACTGGGTGAACGCGCTGAACGCGCGTTCACGTTCAAACGCGCGCGTTCATACCCCCGAGGGCCGCGTTCATTCGCGTTCAAACGCGCTGCGTGCCACGTGGCGCGAAAAAACTGAACGCGACCCCGGGGGGCGCACGCGCGCGTTACAGACTACGAGGTGGTGGACCTCGTTCTAAGAACCCCAACCCCCCCCTACC